AAGATGATCGAGTACGGCAAACGAGCAATCTAATTGACGTTGCTGAAATCGACGTCGCATACTTAAATTTAATAGCAATTGATCGAAAAGAATTTATCAGTAACATATATTATTTAATTAGTCAGAATAGGTTCAAGAAATGCACTTACTTTTCACGAGCAAGTTTTTCTTGTTGCACTTTTTCTTGTAATTCATTGATTTTCCATTTTGCATATTTTCCCAGAAAATATATTCCTCCAGTGACGCCCGCTGTGACAATGAGACTTTGCTTATGCTTCTTTATATATTTAATAAATGCAGAAATCATCTTTGCCAAAATATTCCAACGGTTTGCCTATTATTTATAGATTCAAATGATAATCATTTAATCACGGGTATACCGATCATCTATAAGAACCTAGTTAAAACTTTTTATTATAAAATATATATATATAACGTTATACTATAATTAATTTGAAAATTTTGGTCATGTGACTGTTATCGCGTGATAAAATCATGTTTGACACGTAAGAATATTAGCTTCGGGACTTAATTACGTATCTTTGCGGCTTTTTACACGTGATATAGGATCTGTAATAAGACAAGGTTTATGATTCATAGCTATCAGTAACTATCAAAGACGTTAGCAAAATGGTATTCTTTTAGATAAACTGTAATCGCTTTACACAATTTCTTTTATAATAAATATATATATTTTTTTTTATTTACAACAGTCGGCGTTATTTAACTTCCAGAGTCTTTTGCTTGTAATCTTATTAACAATTTGTACATGCACTTTTGTAAAAGCACAAGTACCAAATTTGCTGGACAGAGAGAAAACTGGGTAGCGTAAATTCCAGTATTGGAATGATATCTCCAATTTTCTTTATTAACACTAATTATATTATAGCATCTTAGGGTTATTCTGGAAGGCAGCGCGAATAGGTTGTATTCCGATTCTATATGTTTAATATATAATGACTTGACTTATGCTTATGAGTATCTTATACGTAGGAGAGAGATTGAGTCCATATGTTTCTTTAGCGTGTATCGCTATGGCAATTAGCATCATCTTGGCGTGATATTATTTTTTGACTTTTTCAATTCGATTATCGAACGTAGATATATACCATCATCAAATTATCTGGACTTTTACCTAGTATACTGTATGTATTATTCTATTATAACTTGCAAAAACATAACTGGTAATTAATTATTAAAAATATAGTATAAATTAAAATTTGCATCTGTATAAAAGTTCAAATAATATATTAAACTAAAAATAAATTAATTAAATTTAATTAAATTTTATATACAGTAAATACATATAAAATATAAAAATAAAATAAAATATTTCTTTTTTTTATAATTAAAAATAATTAATATTATTATTTATAACATATTATAACAAATTGTTATTATAATATATTAAATTATTTTAAGTTACAATATATTATCTTTAAATATAATTTTAAATAGAAATAATATTTTTTTTATACATTATTTAATTTTAAAAAAAAACTAAAAAACGGAAACCATTGTTAAGTTTAGAGATTTATAAGTTTATTATTTCGGATTTGTATAGCAATTTAAAATATAATTTTATTAACTCAATTATTAAGCAGAACAATAAAACCATTTTATTATATTTGTATAGAAATTTATAACTCATTCTTATATTTATTTTTATTATTTAAATATTTAAATCAAATTTAAGTTTATTTAAGTTTATTTATTTATTTTAAAATAAGTTAAATTTTTTTATAAAAAATTTTTAAACTTTAATAAAATTTTATTTTGGTTTTTAAAATTATAAATAAAATTGTTTGTTTTATAATATGTATTTTTTTTTGATAATTATTTAAAATTTTAAATAAAATAAAATCTAAATTTTATTTATTATTAATTACAAATATTTTTTCTTAATTATATTTAATATACATATGTATATAGTGATAATTAAAATTTTTTGAACAAAAATAATTTTAAAAAAATTAAATAAAAAATTGTTTATATATATTTGAGACTATAAAAACCAAGTTTACTTAATTATTTTTTATATAATATATTGTTAAACTTTTGTTAAAATTTTTTAATTTTAAAAACTTTATAAAAAATTAATAATAAAAAATTAATAAAATTATTTTATATTAAAATATAAAAAAAACTCTTTCCCACTCTCTTCTCAGCACTTGAAAATTTCCTTTTTAGAAAATTTTTGAATTGTTTACTTCTTTTCGTCTTCTCCTTTCCTCTTTTTCTCATTTCTCTTCTCCATTTCTGTTTATTCCTTTTCTCCTATACTTTTCTCTCTTTTCTTTATACTTTTTTTTCATCTATATCCTCTTTTTCTTCTCTTATCCCTCTTCCTGCCAAAGTTAAGTTTTTTTCTTTTATTTGAAGATTTTCCTTTCTAGACCTCTCTTTCTTTTGAAAATCTGTTCTTTATAACATCAACCCTTTGACTAGTTGGTTTCCTTTTCTCAAGAGTCATATCAAGAAGTAATAACTTCTTTCAAGATGTGAGCTTTAGGAAATTTCTTTTTTCCATGATTTTTTAAAAAAAAAATGGACGGTTTACTCTCTCCAAAAGATCAACATGGTCATCATTACCAAATTTGGTGTTGTTTACTGAGTAATGGCTTTTTTAGACTGGATACATCTAAGAAACCGGTATACAATTATTATTATCTGAAAGTATTCAAGGGATTGTGCCCCACTATTTCCAGAGTGATGTGATAGCCAATGTCAATACATTAATATAATATTAGATTAGCTGCAGATGCCATGCTAATGATTGGAGAAACTTAGTAGGATAATACGTGAGATCAGGAATTTCAGTTACTTTACAACACAAGATGATGACGACAACAAAAGTTCTCTACTCACCTTTAGGGCTCCGAAAAAGTACCGAACTGGTATTGAAATGGTACCAATCTATAGTAAATTTAATATATGGGTTGTAACCTACTCATATGTTTTTATAATAAATTTAAGTATCAAACTGGTATCAAAATGGTATCGAAGTGGTATCGTTAGGAGCCTTACTTACCTCTCTGACAATACAGGTCCGATGTACAGAGTTAGGTATCAATATTTATAAGAAAACTTCCAATTTCCTATATCCAACACTCTTTTTAACAATTCAATACTTTGCGTGTAAGCCTTCTTTCTCTATCTCCCAGTTTCGAACTATTCTTTAATCAAAATATACCCTTCAGAGCTATCTCACAGCAAAGCTAATTGCCACCTCTCAGCCTAAAGTTCTAGTGATGGGTTCGAATGAGAGATCAATACTAGGTGCAGTTGGTAAAAGATTAACTTTATTTCAGAATGGCATTGGTGATGGAGTTGATTGCCATCCTTCAGCCTAAAGTTCTAGTGATGAGTTTGAATAGAGGATCAATACTAGATGCAGTTGGTGAAGAACTAACAATATTTTAGTATGGTTTGTTTTTAGTGTAGTTTGAATTCAACACTTTTATCTGCTTGCCAGATATCAAGCTATATTTGGAAAGCAAGCATGCTAATCCTAGTTATGATTTGAAGGCAAATCTGTATATAATGGCTGCAGTGTCTTTATATAACTAGGTATTATTTATTCTAGATAGCTAGACACCATTCAAAATGTAATATAAGTTTTGAAATTTGTTTTTCCTGTATTTTTGGGTGGTGCTAAGGAGTGCAGGCAGATGGGCCCTTATGGTAGGCCTTGCGTTAAACTTTTTATAGCAAGGGAGACATATACTATATATTAAGTATAAAATCTTGTCTTGTTACAAGTCTAAAATTTTATAATAAAAACATATGCAGGGAGCTGCCTGCTTCTTTAAAAAAAAAATAAATAAATAAAATAAAATAATTTTATATTATAAAATTATTTAATTAAAATAAATAAATTAATAAAATACTAATTTTATAAATCAATATATAATTATTAAATAATTTATTTAAAAAATTTAAAAAATTTTTAAATTTTATATCAAAATTTGATTTTTTAAAGTAGATAAATATTGTCACTTTATTATAATTGTAAAATTAAAAAATTTATATATAAAGAAAGTAACAACATCTTTCATATGACCAGTTAATTAGTGAGTTTAATGCTAGCTTATCTATATTAAACTATCTACAGTAAGTTGCAAAGGAAAAAAAATATTAAAGTCAATATATTGTCAAAGATAGTACTAAGCAGCTATGAATACCTACTTAGATTTCTATGTAAAAGACTATAAGAAATAAAAAAGAAATAAAATATTAAATAAAGAAATAGATGCAAAAAAACTAATTGTAAAGCTAAAAATGTTTTGAATAAGTGTATCATGTTGATAGTTCCATTTAATTAAGATAAGATATGTATGTATCTATTACAAATAGCTAGACTATTGTTCAAAATATACAGTAATGTTAATGGTATATTTCTTTGATAGTTGATTTGTTATAATAATTGTGTTGTTGTTTTGTTAATATGATCAGTAATTGATTTGTTTATTAATAATATAATTAATTTGTTTGTTAATAATGTGATTTTGTTTTAATAGTTATTGCTGAAAAAGGTTTTGTTTATGTTAATCAGTAGATGGTATTTTGATAGTACAGATTTGTTTAGATAATTGGTGGTGTTTGATTGGTTGGTTTTGAGATATTAATTAATTGATAGGAGTAAATTGATTGTGGTTTTTTTGTAAAAATTTTTTTAAAAAAAAGTTTTGTGGTTTTTGTAACACAACAAATTATACTGGATGATAGTAAGAAGTAAACAATGAATATATTGCTAATCCTTCAAGTCAACAATATAAATATTTTTAATGTGTGGTTTAATTTTTTGATTTGTAAAGAAGATCTTTAAGAAAAGAATATGGTTATTTAATAAGAAATATATATTTGTAAGAAATGAAAATAGGAAGAATCCACTTTCAACAAAAAACTCTTTCCCAAACAAACTCACATCTGAAAAAAACTACCAAAAAAGAAAACCAAAAATTTTTTTGTCAAAAAAAACAGTAAAGGATCCTGGAGGGTCTTCCTCATCCTCCAAGGGTCAGCCCATCGAACCAACCCATATCCTACTGGATGTCCTTATCACCGACATTGACAAATGCCTTGCCATAATATTTCACAAAAATAACAATACTAATATCGTATACACCACCCTTCCCACCGCCAATACTCGCCTTCCAAAATTT